CTCCGCCTTGCGCTGCAAACCGCTTCCAAAAACATTGTCTCCAAGACGGCCGCCGCCCGTGACCGGACCTTCGGACGATGGTGTGACTTCTGCGCAGGCCTCGGCATCAACCCATCCCTCTGTGATATCCCTGACCAAGAGATCCAAGCCTGTTACCTCCTCGTCTAACAATGTCCGAGCTGACTCAGTGGACAAGGCCCTTCTTGCGGTCGGGAAGGGAATCACCGACCTGGGTCACCCAGATCCCAGAAAGCTCAAAGCTGGATCCGACCACAACCATCCAATACTCGCTGCTTTCCTCAAAGGACTCAGGGATGAAGATGGACCCCCTGACCAAGCCTACCCCGTCAACCTCTCCATCCTCCGAGCTATGCTCGATGCCCTGGACTACGACGACGCCACTTGGGGAACTCTCAACCGCCACGTCGGAGACCTCTGCATCCTGGCCTTCTTCTGGCTCCTACGCCCAGCGGAGTACCAGGATACCGGGAACCTTGAATCCCGAAGCCAAGCCTTTCGCCTCTGTGATGTCTCCTTCACTGTCCGCGGTGGCCTCCAAGTCCGCGGAGACACCATCTCTTTGAATGACGTGAAAAACCACGCGTGCCTCACCGATGCCACGTTTACGTTCACTGACCAAAAGAATGCTGTCCGCGGCGAGTCCGTGGGCCACCGCCCAACCTCTGATCCATGGCTTTGCCCGGTGAAGTCCCTCGCGCGTGTGGTCTACCACCTCCGTACCAACGGCGCCGACGCCGATACTCCCCTCTTCAACCACTTCAATGCGGCCCGCAACCGGTGGTATCCTGTGAAGCCCCAGTTCATCACCAACGCCCTCCGCCACACTGCGGCCCTCATCTCCCACGACACCGGCATCAACCCTGACAAGGTCTCTGCCTGCTCCCTCCGTGCTGGTGGTGCCACAGCCCTTCTCTGCGCCCATGTTGACTCGGATGCCATCCGCCTTCTCGGCCGCTGGAAGTCCGACGCCATGCTCCGCTACCTGCGCATCCAAGCCGCTGCCGCCACCCACCACTACTCCCAACAGATGTTGGACCATGGGGCGTACAACTTCCCGGGAGTCACCTACGATCGACACCTCCTCCTGGCGCAAGCGCCCCAACACTTCAACAAGATTCTTCTCCACGAAGAACTCTACGAGGAGTAACCTACCCCTAGTCCTCGGCCCCCTGTCCTCGCATACACCTGGACAGGGGGTAACTTCTCCCACCCCGCTCCGCTCCCTCCCTGTTCTGCCTTTGGCTTTTGGGTTGCACGACTCAAGGCTGTCCCGTGGAACATCACATTCCCGGGACTCCCTTTTGCCGTGTGGGATCCATCCGGGACTCCCCAGTCCCGAATGGTACCCCGGGGACTGGAGACGGTCGGCTCAGTAAATGGCCGAGTCCCTCCACTCACCTAGTCCTCTACTAGTCGTGCCTAGCTGCTCTGGGCGAGCGCAGCTTGTCTGCGCTCGGTGTTGAGCAGCAGCACGCCTGGGGAACCCCCCGTCCGAGTTTCCACGCCCCACTGCGTGGAAACTTGAACCCTGATGGGTTCTCGCAACTATGACCCTAATCATGGTTGCCGAGAGGACCATCTCACAATTTGCAAAATTAATTCCCACGCTCCTCACCTACAACTCAAGTACATCTCTACATCTCGCAGGTCATCACCTGCGTTCCGGAAATGGATACCCCACATGATGATGCACCGCATCAGCTCCACACGATAAAATGTGGGTTGGATCCATGGGATCAACGTGGTGAGCGTGAGAACAAACTGTCTGCCTTATGTTACTGGTACACACATGGTATGTGGAACAAGCAAAGATATAGAGAATCTTGGTTGGTACTGGTGAGACACAGGCCATACATATGGAACCAGGGAAGCCCCATATGGCCCCATATGAAGGTTTTGACCACTGTATCACCCCAGATGGCCATGAGGCGAGCATCTACTCAATCAGGTGACCTCAGGAGGATCCAGGAGCCTCAGTGTGGCTCAGAGTGCTCAAATCCTGCATATCACCCAATTATTTGGATGCATGCTTTTTGCTCATAGTCCTAAGAATTGAATGTATGAATTGAATACCATCTCCATAGACCTGTAGCTCCCTTGTTCCTTTGCAGTAGATACCTATCTTGTTGAGGCTGAGCAGTGGCATTGAGAGGTAAGCTGATAGCATTCGCTAGGCTGCCCAGCATCGTGATAGAATACCATCGGTACCAGCTCCAGGAGCTGGAAACTCTGTAAGCAGAGGAGGCCCTGTGGCCATCCTCATCTCTTGTGGATCTACCCTGATCCTTTTAAGAAGTTATTGCATTAAACAGTCGCAATAGCATCACAGGAGAAGCTATTGCTACAGACGAACAGGCCCAGTGAATCAGAGCTCGAGTCAAAGTTGGAGATCTCCAAGAAATCCTACCTTTTGACCCATACTGATCCACACAGCCATTTCTGTTGTTATTCGAGGTCACCAGTGGATCCGGCAGGTCTGAATTACCCAGAACCAAGACTTTGCAAGGCCCAGAAGACCATCATCGAGGAACCTACCATCCTCGAGTTCACGAAACTCGCGATTCGGTCGATCCGTACGGATAAAGGGCTGATTCTCGAGGATTTTGTGAGGTTGAAAAGGTCAAGTTACAGAGGAACGAAAAGAGTTAACGAACGACCACAGAGGTGCGGTATCAGATCACCCGTGCAGTTCCACGAGTTCTTGTACCGGTCACGCGGAAGCCTCCCGACCAATCACAACGGCCGTGCAGTCTTCACGAGTTCTTGTACCAGTCACGGCACGAACCCTGTTAACTCTTCGAAGTCACCCGGAACGTCCGTGCAGTTTTCGAAGGTCACCAGTGTCCGTGCAGTCTTCGGATTCCACGAGTTCTCGTACCGGTTTCCGTGCAGTCTTCACTGTTCCGTACCGGTTCGCGCATTAACTCCACGAAGTCACCCGGAACGTCCTCGGAAGCCTCAGGAACTACGGATCGATCCTGGAAGCCCCCGGATCAACTCGAGGACTTAGAGAGTTCACTCTGAAGACTTATACAAGCGCGCAAGCGCGCAACGTGTTTACGGTCGTGTTCCCGTGATTTCACCACGGATTACATCATTTTTCAGGTGATTTTCAGCTTTCAGCCTATTACAAGTACAAGCACAGCATGGTAAACAAGTCTGAGAAGAAGAGGAGGAAGGAAAGGAGGATGGCAGCTGCCAATGCAGCAGAGCTTGCAGCCACTCCTCAAGATGGCAACCAGCCACCCACAGCCATCCTCACCCATCCTCCTGCTGTTGATGCTGATGGCTCAGTGGCTACCTCCACCCATGATGGAAGCAGGGATCCCCCAACACTCCCACCTGCTACCACCACCCCTTCTTCCACCACCGATGCTATGCTTCAAACTATCCTTATGCGCTTGGAGATGCAGCACGCATCCATGGAGGCGCAGCAAGCTTCTGTGGAGGCCATTGGCAAGCGCCAAGTGATTGATGGATCCGCTTTGAGGGCACAGCAAGCCGATGTCGCCGCCCTCACCAAGCGCATGGAGGAGCGCCACCAGGACCTTGAGACTTCCTTCATCCAACAGTTGAAGAAGTCCATCAATCAGCTTGATGCGAGGGCTCAACAACACTTGGACTCCATGGAGATCAGCCATAGGTTCTATGAACCAAGCTTGGCTTCACCAATCCGCCCTGTAGCCCAGGAACAACATGGTGTTGAGGAGCAGGAGAAGGCGTTTAACAAGCCCTTGGCCGAGAATCAAGGAGACCCACTGCACTCACTCCCAACACCATGCCTGGAGACCAGCCTGAAGGTGATGTTGCTTTGAAGCCGGAGGCAGATGCCTTCATTGATGTTGCCACCTACCTCACTGCAATGGAGTCCACCCTGCCAAGGTTCCTGCCAAGGTTCCTGTCAAGGTTCCCTCCATGGAGGAGGAAGCATTCAAACCAAACCCACTCCAGTACACCCCAGTCACTGGGGCTCCTCCACCCTTCACCATCCCCAGGATCACCATCCAACAGACTGACTACACGAGGCAACCAGACCTCATCTTTCCTGATCTTCCACCGCCTGATCAACAGACACACTACAGTGGCAGGTATGGCTTCAATTGGGTTGGGAAGAGAGTCTGGATCAGGTACCCACACCCCCTTGATGCCTCCCAGCTACCCTCCAATGTAGCCATGACCCTGAGCACTGGTTGGGGAGGATGTATCCCAATGGACAGTTCCTACACCTCACAGGTGAATGGGAACAACACATGAAGCCCCAGCCCCCAACCCAGCTCTCAACCCCTTCACCTTCACCAGAGCCCAACCATCAAACCCCCTTCAAGATCCTTGACAAGGCACCAGCATTACATGCTCCCAAGTCTATTGTCCCCTTTCCCAATGGCACACAGTGATTGGATCCAATCTGGGCTACACTGGCCATGGCCCTGGCCCTGACCAACCACCAGATCAAGTGTATCGCGGTGGAACTTGGAGGAGCAATCAATACCCTGGACCCAGATCTGGAGGTCATGGTGGACCTGGAGACCTGATGAACCTGTAGGCTCTGGAGGATCTGGAGACTCTGATGGTGGACCCCATAACCACGGGGGCAACAGGTATGGACCTGGAGGCCCTGGTGGCCCTGGAGACCTTGATGGACCTGGAGACCCTGGTGGACATGGAGACCTAAACGGTGCTGGTGGAGGTCTGGCCACCACCCAACATACCAGAAGGTTTCAACCCAAGCAAGACAGGGATGCTCAAGGAGTTGACCAGACCAAGCATTTCACCAACTGGTTTGTCCACACAAGTGTGACCTTGCGGGCACAAGGCTCTCAAAGTGATTGATGGTACCTATGACCACAGATCCCAGGAGGACAAGGCTGATTGGACAGGATGCAGGCGTGGTTCTACAGTGTCCTCCAGGAGAAGGTCAAGACTGAAGTTGGCAAGGAGATCGTGGAGAGGCACTTCAATGATGTCAACTGCAGGCCATCATGACAGCACTCCGTCTTGATGCACATGCTTCCGTGATGGGAGGTTGGAGCAGGCTGAACTCTACAGCTGCTCACCACCACCACCTTTGCACCTTCCAAGCAAGCGCTCTGGACTTTATTGTCAAGTTCAATCGGAACTTCAAGCGGTACAATGACGCCGCCAAGGCCAAGACTGAGCGCATCACTGAGGAAACCAAGAAGACACTACTCCAGCGTGCTCTCTCCGATGTACCATTGCTCCATGCAGTCACCTCCCGTGAGATTGAGCGCATGACTTTGGAGCACAAACCCGGTTACAACTTCGAGGAGTACTAGTT